AAAAAAAAAAAAAAAAAAAAAGTGAACTGAAGGCAATTTAATATCACAGATGCTGCTCTGTTCTGCACTTGTGCATGTACTCACCAAAAAGATTCTAGACAGAGATGACTTCCCTCGCTTTTCCCTCTACCGCCAGCCTCTTCAATTTCCCAACTGGTCCCCTTCCTACCCTTTTCCCTGACTCCCTCCAACACAATCTCACATAGCTTTTGCCTAGGAAGGGTACGATCATATATTCAAGTGATTTGGGATTGTTTTCCAAGCTTGAGAGGTGATTTAGGAGTGCAGATACCATTTATGTTGGACATCTGCCTTTCACTGCCGTCACATCTTTCCATGAGAAATTGTGTTTTGTGAAGAAACCAATGTAACAACAGAAAAAAAATACACCCTAGAAATGAAACAGGCAGACCCAGAACAACAGATTTGCAAATGCTGCAACTTTCTGTTGAACAAGTTTTAAAAGAAACTTTTGCAGCCTTGAAAGGCTAGGAAAAAATGAAGTCAGTCTATTGGACATAGCGAGGTTACATACTCATGGGCTAAGTGTGTCAAATTTTAGGAAGGAAAAGACAAAAATGAATAGAAAAAATGACAGTGGAGAAATATTTCTACTTGGATTCAATTGTTCTTTTCCTCTCCAAAAGGTCACTTATTTTAGTATAGACCCGAGTCAAACGGTACATTCTGTGAATTAAGTTCTTACTGAAATGTACTCCTATTTAGAAACAATTCTTGCGATGCCCTGGATGCTTCTCCTTTCTCAGCTTCTTCCTCAGCAGATATTTACTCGGCATGTTCAATGACTTCCACACCTTTAAATACATGCTCTGAAATTTAAAATGTTTATAACACACGGTTGCAAAATACTTTATCTTTCAAACCGCTCTCCTATACTTAGATACAAATCTACCTGGGAAGCCAAATGATGTGGTAAAATACATTTATTTTTAATTGAAAAATGAATCTGACTTTTCCTTTGGTGCTTAGCATTTCCTCTTTATTCCTGGCAGGTTTTTGTCTTCCTTATTTTCTTTCTCTCATTGCACATGTTGATCCTTTTGAAAAATGAATGTTTGCCAAATCTAGTCTGAGTTGGAAGGGAAGGTAGGGGGCGGGTGGATACTAAAAATCCTGACCAAGATTATTAACAACTGATTTCCAATATAGAGGTAGGCTATGTGCCTGATTAAGTAATTAAACTACAATCACAATGGTTCATATTATGAATCATGCTTTGGGAAAATGAGTTTTTGAGACTCGTGACACTTAGACTCACTTTATTTTTCACTTGTACCTTAAGGGAAAAAGAAGCACATGTGGAAGATGATAAGAGTTGCTCCTTCCTCTAGTGTGGCCAGTTCCTACTTGTCACTCTATGCTGTGTTCTAGAGACAGAAAGCAAATTCACCACCTGGATAACTTATTTTAACATGGAGAGGAAAACGACCATATATTTTATCGGGGATGTGTTTTATAAATGCCAAGGAGAAGCTTTTTGTCTCAAACTGCTTGATTTGAATTTGCACCAATGCCCAAAAAACTTCATTTGGTTTGGATCTGAAATAAACAATTTCAAGAATTTTCGTGGTTTAAACCATATCTTATTGAAATGTATTTCTCCCCTTACTTCCAAAATGTACTGCTATTTACATGATGCCAATTTTGTAGAAGCGTTCCGTGTATGTCAGTGTTTGGCTCTGCTACTGTGGCATCCTACATGGATTTAACAAAGAGCTTTCAGTAAGGCAGATAGTAAACAGCACCCTCAAATCTTAGTGCCGTGAGTTTGTGGAAGGAAAAAAAATGACACGTACAATAAGACCCTGCAAGCCTTTTCAGTACCTTGCCTTTACCCATAAACTGAAGACTTGTAAGAAATATGGCTTTGATTTAGACACACACAGGAAATATTTTAAAAGACATTAAACAAGAAAGCGGGTGCTTCTAGGCAGAGTAAAGGAAAAACATTAAAATTTCATAATGGTTCTAGAATTTGCTTGATAAATCAACACTGGTATCAGAGTACTATTCTGGACAATGAAAGTACTGTGAGCCCTAAGGTTAAGTAGGAGCTTGTAAGGAAAATTATAGCTGCACAAAAACACTGTAGACTTCCAAATTTTAAAGGCATTAAACATTAAGGATAAACACGTACTTTGCTCATTTCCTCGGATTAAGCATGGTATTTTAGAAAGGTGTGCACTTTCCCCGTTATACCCATCAACTTTTAAAAAGGCAAATTTCGATCTGCACGTGGTCATGAGGAATATTTCACTTGGTCCTATTTGCATGGGTTAAAACCAATCAAAGTCCTGAGCACAATTAATGGGAAGTACCTGATTTGTAAGTCTGTTTGCCTTTCAACTAAAAGGACTTAAGAATTATGACACTACATCTTAGGGTTTTTGTATTTCAGCTGTACTGACTTAATGAGAGAGATATGAATATACTTTTCTGCTTTAAATTTTGATATTTAAAGACCATTAAAGCTGGGCTATTTAATTACCATTATTGAATTATTATAACTACTGCTTTGATACCTAAAATATAATTGCCTGTGATTAATTCTCTACTGTATTTTATTCGAAAAAGATCTGGCTGTAATTAAGAAACAACAAATTAACCTCAATTTCCAACCCCTCCTCTTATTTTTTAAGAAGTGAACTTTAATAACTTATAAAAGCCAGAACTAAGCTCAAATACAGAGCTGAAACATATCATGTTAATTTAGCCACAACCTGAGACTTAACATAGAAGTGTATTAAATGCGTACTATTAAAAGAAGGATCTAAAAGAGTACTATATAAAATTGGTGGCAACATTTTCAACGTGCTGCTTGAAAATTTGGCTTCTTTCCCCCCCTAGAATTTATATGCCACATTCATCACTGCTCTGTGTTAGATGCGTGGCTATAAAATTGCGAAAATGGAGGCTTTTCTGGTAGCCAAAGGGTTAAGTTCTTTTTGCTTTACCAGTTTCAAATTACAATGAGAAGCCTCTTCTTTCCCAGCAGGGTTGTGCTTACATTACTCTTTAGATCTCCCTTGAAGAGGGCTGGTATATTTGTGCCTGCTGGAGGTGGAATTAACAGTCAGAAGGAGAAAGCAATTGAATGGACTTACAGCAAGGTTTTCAAGTAAATACAGGGACACACATTTACTTGAACAGTACAACCTTGAGGTGTACTTTACACTAAGACGACACAAAAGATGTTAAAGTTATCACCAAGCTGCCGGACAAATATATATTCCAACACCAAGGTGCAGATCAGCCTAGATCTGTGACTCAGGAATCAGGATCTGCCTTGGAAAGAGCCTCAGGGTTGAGAAGAACTGAAGAGCAAGTGAAGATAACTTTGGGAACTGCAGCTTATCAGAAGATCAGCTTCCGTTCACTCAGATACCAACAGGCCTGATTATCATAAATTCATATAGGAATGCCTAGGTCATCTGATCAAATCATATTAGCCGTCTCCTGCTACATCAATGCAGCAAAAACTCTTAACAACTGTGGATAATTGGAAATTTGCGTTTCAGCTTTCTTAGAAATAACTACTCCTGACATATTCCAAAATATTTAAAATAGGGCAGGAAAATCAGTGAGGGTGTTGTGTTCAGAAGTGTCACTGTCATGAAGAATAGGTAAATTTGTTCTTTCTGCTACTGGGAAATTGTACCTCCTAGAAACTTAGATTTTTTTTTTTTTTTTTTTTAAGAGGACAAGAAGAACTAAAAACATCAACTTTGCTTTTGGACAAAAATGCATCTGAGTGTATTTTTATTTAGGGGTATTGTGGGTTTCCTCTGGAGCTGCTGGGTTCTACTGGGTTATGCCAAAGGAGGTCTGGGAGACAATCATGTTCACTCCAGTTTTATTTATAGAAGACTACGGAACCATGAAAGACGGGAAATACAGAGGGAGATCCTCTCTATCTTGGGGCTGCCTCACAGACCCAGGCCATTCTCCCCTGGAAAACAAGCTTCCTCTGCACCCCTCTTTATGCTCGACCTGTACAACGCTATGGCCAGTGAAGACAACCCCGAGGAGCCGGAGTACTCGGCGAGGGCATCCCTGGCAGGGGAGGCCAGGGCGGCGAGGAAGGGCTACCCGGCCTCTCCCAATGGGTACCCTCGCCGCATCCAGCTCTCGCGGACGGCTCCCCTCACCACCCAGAGCCCCCCTCTCGCCAGCCTGCACGACACCAACTTTCTCAATGATGCTGACATGGTCATGAGCTTTGTCAACTTAGGTATGTTGGTCGTTTATTTGTTAATCTGTGTTATTACAGGGTGGAAGTTTTTCTAATGGTAAAGTAGCTGCCTGGTAGGTGGTCATGTTTATATAAAGTCATTTTCTATAACTCTCCTCTCCAGCTCCTGTTTCCTTTCTTTCATTGGTGCAGTGTAAGGTTTTTGCCTTAGGCAACGAAGTCGTATATAGCTTTTATTTTTAATACATAAAAGCTAAAATGAAACAATTATGGTTGCGGTAGATTGGGTCTTTTCAGATCTTGTTAAAATATCAACCTTGCTTCATGTATAAATGTATGAATAGCCAGGCAGTAGTCTAAAGAAAAGGAGAATTTACGAGGATAGCTGTGCTATGAGCAAACAAATAAGAATAATAAAAATATTTTTAAAAAGCATTTACGGGCAGAAAAATAAAAGTGACATTCTCAACTATTTTTTAGTTAGTAATTTAGGAAACATATAGATATATATTTATATGCTACCTAAAAGCTCTCATTCAGGGGAGGCAACTACTGCAAAAATATTGATATGAAATTAACTAAGATCAAATAATATTATAAAAGATGACTATCAAATAGCTTCAGGGAGAGATTCTGTTCTCTGGAAAATATTTTAGAAACCAAGTTTCAATCTAACTGCAATGATTAAAATATATCATAGACCTATTTGATTTTTTCTCAGAAGCAAGGGAAATGTAAATCATGCCATGATGGTCTTTATTACCTATAAAAAATTTCTTTTTATTTGAGATACAAATTAATTGCAATTCTTTAATTAGTAACATTATTATAGAATAATTTTTAAAATTATGTTTTACTGAGTGCTGATACTCTCAAGGCAGTTTTGAAAGATTGGCAATATCAAATAGTAAATTAATGCCTTATACTCTATCTTGCAGTAATATTAAAGAGTTTCCTAATTTAAAATGATTTTTACAAGTGCTGTAGTTTTATTTAAATGTTTTAATAGATACTGAAGGTGAAAATTTACTATTCTTCAGACATTCAAAATAACAAAAACATAGAATATGTTTATTTTTGAAGACTAGAAATTGTATCAACAAAATTAATCAACTTGAAAGAATCGAGAGCATTTTAATGTAAGAACTTTTAAAACTTTGTTTTAAAAATGCAATCTGCTTTGAGTTAAAATTGACATATTTGATTATACACCTAATTAAAAACTTCCCCATATATCTCAAAAATATTCTTTGAAAGGTCTGCTAGCAGCAACTCCTAATAACACATGATACTTTTATATATGTTGCTTAATGTGCTCTGCTCATTTGCTCTCAGCAGTCCTAGCATGAAGGATAAGGTGCTTCATAAATCATATGTTTCATGTTACTAGAGACAAAGCTCTCATTATTGAGTTTTACTAAGTCATCATTGGGTCCCCTAATCAGGTGTCCTGGATACCTTTTCTCTGACATATAATTAACAGGTTTCATTTGGAACTCTCAAGACATTAAAATATAGCTTAATTCTAAATAAGTTTGATTGCTTTTCCTCCTGTAAGTGGCATGCAGATGAGGCTTATGATATAGTTTTACTCTGTAGCAATTTCTAAAGCTTTTTTCAACAATTTAATGTTAATATTTTAATAGAAAATTGTCACTCTAGCACGATTTACATAATCACAAAACAAATCACTGAATAAATCAGTTCGGGTCACCTCAAATCTGTCACGGAAGAATGTGTTATGTAAGGTGCTTTAAGAAACAATAGCTCAGTCAGAAATCTGTTCTAATAAGATATTTTATTATGTTTGAATATCTTGATCATTCACGAAAGAAGTGTATTTGTGTTTTGAAAAGGAATTAAATTTGATTTTGAAGCTGTATGCCGTTACTTTTTATAAATCTACATAAAATAAGAAAACCCAAAAACAACAATAAACAGTTTTATTCAGTGACTTCTAGGACCATTTTTAACATTTAAGAATGATTATACTTTTAAATCAATGAAATTTCGGTTATATTGTTTGGATTATAACAAACTAGTTCATTAACCATATCATGAAATATAATTATTCATTTTATTCTGGAGAAACAATTGGATGTAAACTTCAGAACATTTTTATTTATTTTTATCATGCTTGAACTGCTGAGTCATGACTTATCTTCAATAATAAACCATACTGGTTTTTAAAAAATGTAATATTCCAAACTAAATGTCTCACATTAAATTACAGATAAATTAATTCTCATATTGAATTTCTTCTAGTAGTCTCTGAGGAAAATTGAACCACAATTTTATTTTATTATCTTCAGACCATGCCTTCTAATATATCCAAAAGTTGCAACCTATCATTACTGAGTAAAAAGTTTCTCTGTATTTCTTCCATGATAAAATAGGTCAAAGTGTACTTAGAAAAGGTGGCACTATAATATCATTGTTAACTGCACTGAGAATTTGAGCGTCCTTAGTAACATTCACTAGCAATTATCTGCAACGTGTTTCATGTTATTATAAGACTCAAGATAATTTAATTTAATTTTTTATTATCTTAAAATATATGTATATTGTAGGGACTAAGGACAAATGATCAAATTAGCAATAGGCAAGGGATTTATACTGAGGGAGTCACCTGGATATTTAAATATGTGAAAAGAATCTGTTGACATATCCCATAACAAGACAAATTATATTAAAAGGATCTAGTAACATCCTTTTTATGAATGCTTGCCTGTGTCATTTCGAGTCAAATAATAGATTTTCTACAATTATCTTGTCATTCAGGAAGACATTTTTTTCCAACATAAGTTTTGCTCATCAAGAACAATTAAACTTAATTCAAACCCCGAATCATATTTAACAAAATATCTATTTTTAAAATTTCAGATGAGAAAAATTTTTTGTCCATAAGTGAAAAATTGTTTAGAATTTACTAAGTGAAAAAAATAAAAATGTAAATAAACTGTGTTACGGTCAATATAAACAGCTAACTATGAAACTAAACACATTATTTTGACCTTTAAATCATTTTAGTGATTTGTTTATTTTTAAGAAACAAATGTTAATTATTTGAAGAGAAACTTTCCACTCTATTCCATTCGTTATTCTTATGCCAACATTTGTCAGTCTCATAGTACGTAGCTTTTACAGGTTGACTTCTCTGATTTGTCCTGTAAACTACTGAATATCAGTGGAATTTTTTCTTAGCCAATGCTATAGTACTTTGTTAGAAACAAAAATGTATTTCTGGTAAATTGTTTCCTTTTTAACCTTGTCTTTATCAAAAATGTTAAGGGTTACATATCAAAAACCTACGCAAATAAAAGTAGTTACTAGGTAATTTTTTTGCAATATTTAAGTATATCTCCTGTTTATATAAACATAAACATGTAGTGCATTTCTAAGATCTTTTAGTTAGAAGCCAATATTTGATTACTTGGTGGTAGTATAATTAAAGTGACACATGTTGTAGATGTTTTAGAGGAATTACAAAACACAGGAAATACAGGAAATTTACGTTTATATTATTCTTAGTCTACATGTATTTTCTGATAAAGAAGAACTTTGGGTTTATTAATGGTTTTTGATTCACTGATCATATTTGGCTTGGAGTCAAATACTTCTTAGATATATCTTAAGAATATATAGTGATTCTCAAGCAGAAAAATATATAAATGTAATGCTTAAATTTATTTATGTTATAACAATATATTTAGCATGCTAAGATATGAAATAGAAAAAAAATGCTTTCAAAACTTTAAATTAAACCCTTATCTTCCTACTTCCTCAAATTATTAAACTCTCCTGGTACTAGAAGAAAAAGATTTGAAAGACATCATTGATATTTATTGTTGTTTTTGGCTGACTCAAGTGCCCAGTGGAGAGGAATTTATATACAGATCTACCTAAAGATGCCTATCTATGTAGTTTCTCCAACAGGGTTATTAACACTTGTGTAACATAAACACAACCATAAACACATGCAAGATTTTTTTCTTTTGAGGAGGGAGGAATGGGATGGGAGGAAAGATCATCTAAATCCATTATGATACATACTCATGGATTATGTCTAGAATCACAAATGCTAATACTGGGCAAAAATATTCTTTAAGACTCTTAACTTCTGAAGAAAAGAGAAGTTGATGTGGGTGGGGAGCTTTCTCGCTCTTCTTCAACAACCCTTCCCATTCATAAATGTGACCAACGGGGTTCTTGTTTTCCTTTAAAGTTATTTTATTGTCCAGCAATGGGCATGGCTGCAGAGACAGTTATCATAGTTTAAGTCCAAGTTTTTTTGCAAGTTTTAATGGTCACTCACAAAGAGCCAGTTATGAAAAGTTAATGAAAAGTAACAGCTGGAAATAGGAAGGTATGGTAACATCCTCTAGAAAGGCTTGGGACTACTTCACCCACCTCTTTCAATCCTTCCCTTTTATTCTCCCCTTTTTAAAAATATCATCTTCCTTTCCCCTCCCCCTTCTCCCCCTCCCCTTTTTTGGCCTTTCCTCTTTAGTTCTGTGGTCCCTCTAGCCCCAGGCTCTCTTGGCACCCTTCTTCTCACTGCCCCCACCCTTCCCGGGGTCTGCCTTTGGTCCTAGTTTCTTCATAGCTGGAGGCTTAGATTAGCTGAAAATCAATTAGTTACAGCGTGATCAGTTAGGTACAGTCTCCTGTTTTCTCTTTAGTTGAGAAGGAAAAGGTCATGATGTGCCAATTACAGCCTCCACCCATCAGGAGAAAAGCTCCCCAGGGCAGCAGAACCTGCTCTGTCGCCATCCCTTGAAACTGTGGCCTCCACCTTTGCCTCCTCACCTCTCCCTGAGGACCCCACTGACAGAATTTAATTGTTTTTGCCTTTACTATTTTATAACATAAATTAACATTTAAAATGGGGGGGGGGGAGATTTAAGTGAAAGTAAAAAA